AGAGGTAATGCAGTGGACTTAAACTAATGCCGCGTAGCATCTGATTGAACAGGTATCCGAGTTAATTCGCTGTTAGATTAACACGCCGTAAGTGGCATGCACGTAAGTAGTCATTTGTCTAAGCTGTCGTATCCGCGGGTCTTGGTACTCAAAAATATGACATAAAAGGTGGGGTGTTACCCTGCTTCCAATCTAGCGTGATTCCATAGAAATAGCCGTCTAACAAGACAAATAAGCCAGGAGTATCTTTGTTGACAATATTTCCCGATTTGCGCGACCGCATATACTGAGACGTGGAATGCTTGAGCCCGGCCCCGACATTCTCGACATATTCTTGCATCAGAGAGATCTGAGAGAGAAGGAGAGACGGAACGTGCGTAGTATAAAATGTCCTTTATCGCGGCCGATTTGGGGTGATCCCATCGGCTAGTGTTGAACCGTTTGTTTGAATGCTGAAGAACAAAAATCGCACTATGCTTGATTCCTAAGAAATGGCTTTCCAACAATACAAATAAGCCGGGAGTGTCTTCGTTGACAATATTTCCCGATTTGCGCGACCGCATATACTGAGACAGGGAATATAACTATTGTTCCAAATATCATTCAGTTTACAATAGGAAATATGAGGCGCAGGTGTTCAGGTTCAAGTCGACTAAGGAGAACTAAACCCGGTATACCGTCCCGTGACGGCTGGCGCCTGCAATCTCTGTTCGGAAGCGATCAGCCACAAATCCCGGCACGTGGAACCAAATGACTAAATGACGTAACATGAACGTGGACAGAGCATTACCATTTAAGAATTGCGACAGTGTGTCCAGTGCGCTAAAACAGTTGGCACCCGGCTACCACAGTAAAAAAAATCCGTTTCTGTAAACTGCTTCCTCAAAGAGCATTTGTCCATATGGAACATAAGCAATACTGCGACATTTAAAATCGGGAATAAAAGACAAAAAGTGAGTAGAAATTAACGCATACAATTGTGTTTTCCACAGAGCTATCACACCTGGGGTTATGATTAAAGTTAGGTGGAAAACACCTTCATCGTGATTCTCGGACACCTTCCAGTGTTTTGGAAGTGTTTCCAGACTACTAAGGCCTAGATTGCATCGTTTAAACCTACGGTGCCTTACTCAGAATTTTGACGGGAGTGTTTTATGTTATGTGTGCATATGCACCCCTGTCGTCACTTCCCGCGTAGAATGACCCCCAACCCTATAGGACCCAAACTTGCGGATAAACGAAACTGCAATAACACGGCGTTATGATCACCAACCGATGGCATAGACAAACAAGAACAACAACATTGTACTCAGGCTTCATTTGAAAATAAACCGCCTAACACTGAACCTTATGACTGGCCTTAGTCAAAATGTCCAGCATTAGTTCACATACCTAGCCTTCAGTCTTAAACTACAAACGCATTTAACTCCAGCCTAAATCCAACAAGGTGAAGATGCTAATTTTAGGCAGGGGAGATGGCGACGAATGAATATCACTTACGTCTCCTGCCGGACCTACCTAACATCAATGCAACTCAGGGCTTGAAAACCAACATGTCCTAGAATTAAACCCAGCTCGCCAGCACATTCATCTCATCTACACGTGCTTGCCTTGCTTAATTTATTCCAGGTGCACTGCAGTTCAAGCAGCTACGCAACAGATTCAGTCGACCGAAGTGGGGTCCGGATGACTTGGCACAGGCGCTGGAAATCCAGTGCGGATCAAGCCCTGGCCGTCCTCTTCATAGGTGCTTAATGAGTTGGTGATATTGACGGTACACACACACACGAGTACTCAGCAAGGCTCTTTTAACTATGGACTAAAAGCTTGTGCTGAGCAAAGGCATCCGGGTGCTGTGGAAACCTAACCAGACTTCAAGAGCTATCTCTCTGACCCCGTCGATAAACAGAACGTCCGGACAGGCAATAGCCTGAATTTGAACTTTTCTCGAATTTCCTCATCAGGTGATATCAACGAGGGTTTCGACGATATGAAAAGTTAAAATAACCCAAACAAGCCACATTCCAGGTCTCTAATCTGTCTGCTAAGCGTTATTTAAAAATGCCAACATACAAAGGAACACCCGCAGACGGAAAACGGGAAGACCTTGCAAGTGCTGATTTGGTGGGTCACCAGTCCAAGCAAAAGTTCACTCTGGCAATGTTCCCAGTCGCGCTTACTCTCTACGTTATATTAAACCCGGTGAATTATACCTTTAAGGCGGCGACAAAATATAAAATGAACTGAAATTCTTGTGGAAATGTGAACCAGAAAAGTAGGCATTAAGCCACCCAGACGACCGTCATCTCTTCTAGAATCCTGCCCATTCAACGTAGGCGACATGCAACGTGGTAGAGAGTTGAATTGAAGCTGCCGGATTTTTAGAATCACGAAATTTACGCTGATAGATAGGGGAAGTATGGCATATTCAGGGTGACCGTACTAGTCACGATCATGCTCACAGCTCACTGGGTGTTAGGAATCTCCTGGTAGGTGTTATGCGAAAGCTAAACAAAGCGCAAAGTGCGGTTTTGGTGATGAAGTTGGCGTGGCTAGACGTCGTGGTGTGCCGCAGTAGCCTGTGTGATCATTGCAGCACTTTCGGGCGTGTGAGATCTGAATCCCTCCTACAGTGGTTTGGTACATGGTGTGGGAACACGTTCGTGCCTGCCTTGCTGAATTTATTCCAGGTGCACTGCAGTTCAAGGAGCTGCGCAACAGATTCACTCGACCGAAGTGGAGATCGGATGACTTGGCGCAGGTGTTGACGGGGAAGAGTGTGGAGTTGGCCCACAAGTGCCGTCGTGTATGCATGTAGTGGCACGCCTTAGTGGCTCTTACGTCGCACCATTCACTGCGCCCAATCCCATCATAAGTTGGTTGGGAGACTCGGGCAGTGGAATATAGCGGGCGCGATTGACTTTGTAGGACCCATTCTTGCAGCACATAAGCTTACGCCTAACAGTAAAAAGGCCGAAGTGCTACAATGCCATTACGACAGGCTAACAGTCGTGGCCTGGAAAAGCTGCCATCTGACGGGATAGCTGAGCCCATCTTAGGACTAAGTGTCCGGCTTCACCGACTCTTTTGTGAAGTGTCCGTTATGGCAGTCTGACCTCGCAGTGTTCTGGTGATTCTGCAGTCGCAGGCACGTTGCGTGTGCAGCACGCGTAGGCATTCTCTTTTGTATTTTTTTATCCACTGCGATCTAGCTTGGAGTGGGTGTCTTGCCTTTTTTCCTGCATCGGAGAGATTTGCGTGAGAAGGTGAGACAGGATATGATAGATGCTACGCTTAAATCTGCTATGCTATAAATTAGTCCACGTGCATGTCACTGGCGTTGCGATCACTCTGTAGGACACTCAGTGGCCTGATGTGTTTCTACTGTCAACTTAAATGCTATTCGAACGAGGTTTTCAAGAGATTCACCCTCGTTCTTCCTAATAGTGGCTTGGCAGTTACTACTAGGAAGCTCCAACCAACTAATATGGCCTTCGCACATGGCCATATTGTCAAATAAAGGAAGATATAAAAAGAAAGAAGATGATATCAGCAGAACTTTTGACGAAAGTCAAGGTTAATAGTCATCAAATAAGGTGTCTTCCAAGACCTTGGCTTGTGCCTATGTCCGTTCTAAGTAAAGATTTTTTCAAGCAAGAGGAGAATAGCGGGAGGCTAAAATGACGAAAGGAAAAAAGGCGTCTGTGGGTTTAATGTGCTACGGAGGACCTCTTGAACCGTTAAGAATTTGCTTGATCTCACGGAAGGGAAAAACGTCCGAACAGGTAGTAACCTGGATTTAAAGTTCAACTGAATATCCACTGAAGATGATATCAAGAAGGATTTTAATGACGCGAATGGGTAAAATCTATCAAATAAGTCGCACTCTCTGTCCTTAATTAGGCTGCTGAACTTAGTCAAAAAGTACAAATTTGAAAACAAAAATGAACAAAAGGAACACCTGTAGGCGAGAAACGGAAGGACACCGCAAGTTTCGGTTGTCTGGATCAGCAGTGCAGGGGTCCCACCTCGAGCAACCAATCTCTGAAGCCCAGTTGACAGCCGTTCATACGGGCAATGTTTCTACCGGTGTGTTTCCTCTAAGTTTCATTAAAACGGACCGATTATGCTTTTCAACGGAGGTGCAGGTAATATATTAAGCCCACAGTTAGCAACACATGACTAATATAGTAAATAGTCAGTAAAATCGTAAATAACCCAGTTTGCTTTCAACTGCACTTTTTTCAACGTTTATTTCTTCAACTTAACGGCGCCACTATAGTGTGTCTTATATTCTACCTTGTCTGTAAGATGTGGTTATGTAGTTCCACTTGATGGACACAATACTGTTGGGGTTGGGGTTAGGAGTAAGAGGTTGGGACTAGGGGTTAGAGCTAGGGGTTTGGGTGAGTGGTGAGGATTAGGGCAACTATTTCTCAACCATTCAAAGGACAACGGCGCATTCTCAATGGCTTTTATTTTGCATACAACTACTTTGGTCTCGTCGCCTGTGCGTTTCCCGGTCCCACCTGTAAAAACGCCTATCCCCATCGGTCCCGTATAAAAGGTGGCTAAGGTTTTTTTTACTTCAGACGGGGCTGCATAGCCACATCTGACCGCCTTGAATTCAGTCGTGTGACATGTGTTCGAATTGTTTGCACTTCGTGCTTGATGTCAGCGAAATTTTGCCAGATGTTGGACGCATTCAGCCCTGGGTTTGTTTACTTGATTGTTTGTCTAGGCAAAAGTAACAAAAAATACTATTTTCTAAGGTACGTTGTGTACGCGCACGTCAAATAATATTTCCTAACCGCACTCCCCGATTGGGTATAAAAGGGAGGACGGATTGGGTGGCTGCATCGTCAAACCAAACAGAGCATCAGAAGCGGTCACAATGAAGGCATTCCTGGCAATTTTGCTTCTCGGAGTGCTGGTGCAGATGACCCTGGCGAAGACTGCGAGGAAGGAGGAACCAGAGGAGGATCTGTCGAAGGGGGAGGTCAGTGCGAAGGAGGACGAGGGTGCAGTGTCTCCAGCCTGCGGCGGCGGTTGGTGGGGTGGCTGTCATCACCACCACGGATGTTGCTGGCGTCGCTGTTGCCACCATCATCACCACTGCTGCCACCACCATCATTGTGGAGGCTGGGGTTGGGGTTGGTAAACACGCATAGTGCGTCATTTTCTGCTGGCCAATAAAGAGGTTGCCACTTACTTGTGCCTTGTCTACTTGAACTACAGGTCAAAGCTGTGATGTCAGAGAACTGTTTGGATTTACTTGGAATGATTAGTTTAAGCTGGAGTTCTTGTGGAAATGCGGAGTGGGAAGGGCGAAATTTAACTAACCACCCTACCCTCCTTCTCTTGGAATCCAAGCGGCATGTAACGTTGCAATGCTTTGACTTGTAGCGATGGCGAAGCATAACGCACTCAGTGTGACCGCACCAACTCGGGCCTTGCTGATACGCGGAACCATTGTTGACAGAATGCTGGGCATTTTCTTGCATCTGCTACCTGTAAGCCTACAAATTGGCCAAGTCTGGCTTTGACTATCGGGATGGCGATGCCCGTCACTGGACGCCATGGTGTGGCGTAGTGTTTTATGTGGTTTTTGCGGCACGTTCGCGCACGTGTGAGATCCGAATCACCCCTACAAGGGCTGGGTGTGTTGAGTGCGAACCCAACTGTGTGTGGCACACTGCCGGGTTGCTTAGCTCTGTCATCGCCTGTGTTCGCACCCACCGATGGCTGTTTCATCATTGTCTTGCTCTTGGGGTCAGGTGGGTGAAGGAAGTTTGCTTGGCGGATACTGCGCTGGCCAGAATGCTTTGCCCTAGTCAAACAGGCCCTACGTGATACCGAATGCTGAGTAGATTCCTTTTTTAGTTTGTCATGGTAGCAACGGTCGAGAATGAGATATATCATTGCCGTCCTGCGCAGTCTGCTTAGTTTGCATACTGGTGACCATCTTGACTTATGCTCTGGCTAGGGAAAAAGAGTAAGAACTCAATTCTGTAATGGCTGGCTTTTTGTCCCACGAAAGCGAATTCGTGCAGGCGTTTATAGTATGGACGAAAACAGAATTGATGGTGGCCCTTTCGGAAGCCAAATTTTGGGTGGATAGCGTTTCCGATGAGGTAAACTGCCGCGACTGGGATCTGTTCCTTACCGCATCCTGTTTCAAGTTAGGTGGAAAACACCTCCATCGTGATTCTCGGACATCTTCCAGTGTTTTGGAAATGCTTCCGGACTAGTAAGGCCTAGATTGCATCGTTTGAACCTACGGTGTCTCACTCAGAATTTTGACGGGGAGTGTTTTATGTTATTTGTGCATATGCACCCCCTGTCGTCACTTCCCCCCTTAGAATGACCCCCAACCCTCTAGGACCCAAACTTGCGGGTAAACGAAATTGCAAATAGTTGGCGGTATGAGCACCAACCGATGGCATAGGCAAACAAGAACGCCAACATTGTACTCAGGCTTGAATTAAAAATATACCGACAGAATGGCATTACCGACAAAAACAAGGGAGACTGGTATTTGTCGGTAATGCCATTCTGTCTATATCATGCGCCGCTGTGCGGCTGCTGGTTGGGATCGAGAGAGAGTCCGCAAGGCACAACGGAACGAGTGAGTTCCTTAAGAACGATCGGTGAGCGCCCCCTACCATTCAAAATATAGGGCCTAACACTGAACCTTATGACTGGCCTTAGTCAAAATGCCAAGCATTAGCTCACATACCTAGTCGTCAGTCTTAAACTACAAACGAATTTAACTCCAGCCTAGGTCCAGCAAAGTGAAGGGGCTAATTTTAGGCAGGGGAGATGGCGGCGAATGAATCTGGACCTACCTTACATCAATGCAACTTAGGGCTTGAAAACCACCATGTCCTAGACTTAAACCCAGCTAACCAGCACATTCATCTCCTCTACACGCACTTGTCTTGCAACATTTATTCGCGGTGCATTACAGTTCAAGGAGCTGCACAACAGATTCAGTCGACCGAAGTGGGGTCTGGATGACTTGGCACATGCGCTGACCGGGAAGAGTGCGGAGTCGGCTCACAAGTACCGCCGTCTATGCTTGTAGTTGTTCATCTTATTGGCTCTTACGCCGCACCATCCACTGCGTCCAATCCCATCATAAGTTGGTTGCGAGACTCGGACAGTCGACTAGAGCGAGAGACGTCAACACTGGGGAAGTCGTCCTCACGGCACATTTGCGTATGTTATACAAGTATGAATCGACGATGCCAAAATCCAACAACAACAACAACCACCCACATAACACACATCTAATACAGAAAGAAGATGTTTGAAATCCAGTGCGGATTAACCCCTGGCCGTCCTCTTGGTAGGTGCTTAATAAGCTGATGATATTGACGGTACACACAGGGGAACTCAGCAAGGTTCTTTTAAGTATGGACTGAAAGCATGTGCTGAGCAAAGGCATCCGGGAGCTGTGGAAACCTAACCAGACTTTAAAAGCTATCTCTCTGACCCCGTCGATAAACAGAACGTCCGGACAGGCAATAGCCTGAATTTGAACTTTTCTCGAAATTCCTCATCAGGTGATATCAACAAGCGTTTCGACGATATGAAAAGTTAAAATAATCCAAACAAGCCACATTCCAGGTCTCTAATCTGTCTGCTAAGCGTAATTTAAAGATGCCAACATACAATGGAAAACCCGCAGACGGAAATCGGAAAGACCATGCAAGTGCTGATTGGCTGGGTCACCAGTCCAAGCAATAGTTCACTCTGGCAATGTTTCCAGTCACTTTTACTCTCTACGTTATATTAAACATGGTGAATTATATATTCAAGGCTGCGACAAAATATAAAATGAACTGGAATTCTTGTGAAAAATGCTGACCAGAAAAGGAGGCATTACGCCACCCAGACGACCGTCATCTATTCTAGAATCCTGCGCATTCAACGTAGGCGACATGCAACGTGGCAAAGAGTTGAATTGAAGCTGCCGGATTTTTAGAATCACGAAATTTAAGCTGATCGATAGGGGAAACATGGAATACTCAGGGTGACCGTACTAGTCGCGATCATGCTCACAGTTCACTCTGTGTGAGGAATCTCCTGGTAAGTGTTATGCGAAAGCTAAGCAAAGGGCAAAGTGCGGTTTTGGGGATGAAGTTGGCGTGGCTAGACGTTGAGGTGTGCCGCAGTAGTCTGTGTGATCATTACAGCACTTTCGGGCGTGTGAGATCTGAAGCCCTCCTATAGTGGTTTGGTACACGATGTGGGAACACGTTCGTGCGTGGCTTGCTGAATTGATTCCAGGTGCACTGCAGTTCAAGGAGCTGCGCAACAGAGTCTCTCGATCGAAGTGGTGTCCGGATGACTTGGCGCAGGCGTTGACCGGGAAGAGTGTGGAATTGGCCGTGTATGCATGTAGTGGCACGCCTTAGTGGCTCTTACGCCGCATTATCCACTGCGCCCAATCCCATCACCAGTTTATTGTGAGACTCGCACCGTAGACTATAGCGGGCATGGTTGAATTTGTAGGATCCCTTCTTGCAGCACATTAGCTTATGCCTAACAGTAAAAAGGCCGAAGTGCTACAATGCCATCACGACAGGCTAACAGTCGTGACCTGGAAAAGCTGCCATCTGTCGGGATAGGTGAGCCTATCTTAGAACTAGGTGTCCGGCTTCACCGACTGCTTCTTGCAGCGACTGCTATGGCAGTCTGATTCACGTGAGATCCCAGCTGACCTCGCAGTGTTCTGGTGATTCTGCTGTCGCCGGCACGTTGCGTGTGCAGCACGCGTAGGCATTCTCTGATAAGCTCAAACCTTTGCCACTTTTCCTTGAGATTGTTGCAGATAGCATGCAATTCGATGTGTCAATTGATGCACGAGTTATCAGAATAAATGGCCTCTAAAAATCCCCGCCTTCTCTTAGATGGTCAGGCACCTATATTACGAGTCTTGTTCCAGACAAATTTTGTATCAAGTTTCCGGCGTATGCATGGCAACCTGGGACAACTGGTTTCAACTTTGTATTCCGGCATATGTGTGCATCTACTGGGCTCGAGCCCGGCTCGGGTAGTCTTGACACTTTCTTGCATCGGAAAGATTTAAGTGAGAAGGTGAGACAGGATATGATAGATGCTACTCTCAAATCTGCTATGCTATAAATTAGTCCACGTGCATGTCACTGGCGTTGCGATCACTCTGTAGGAAACTCAGTGGCCTGATATGTTTCTACTGTCACCTTAAATGCTTTTCGAACGAGGTTTTCAAGAGATTCACCCTCGTTCTTCCTTATAGTGGCTTGGTAGTTACTACTAGGAAGCTCCAACCAACTAATATAGCCTTCGCACATGGCCATATTGTCAAATAATGGAAGATATGAAAAGAAAGAAGATGATATCAGCAGAACGTTTGACGACAGTCAAGGTTAATAGTCATCAAATAAGTTGTCTTCCAAGCCCTTGGCTTGTGCCTATGTCCGTTCTAAGTAAAGATTTTTTCAAGCAAGAGGAGAATAGCGGGAGGCTAAAATGACGAAAGGAAAAAAGGCGTCTGTGGGTTTAATGTGATACGGAGGACCTCTTGAACCGTTAAGAATTTGCCTGATCTCACGGAAGGGAAAAACGTCCGAACAGGTAGTAACCTGGATTTAAAGTTCTACTGAATATCCACTGAAGATGATATCAAGAAGGATTTTAATGACGCGAATGGGTAAAATCTATCAAATAAGCCCCACTCCACGTCCTTAATTAGGCTGCTAAACGTAATCGAAAAGTACAAATTTGAAAGCCAAAATGAACAAAAGGAACACCTGTAGGCGAAAAACGGAAGAACACCGCAAGTTTCGGTAGTCTGGATCAGCAGTGCAGGGGTCCCACCTCGAGCAACCAATCTCTGAATACCAGTTGACAGCCGTTCATACGGGCAATGTTTCTACCGGTGTGTTTCCTCTAAGTTACATTAAACAGGACCGATTATGCTTTTCAACGGAGGAGCAAGTAATATATTAAGCCCACAGTTATCACCACATGACTAATATAGTGAATAATCAGTAAAATCGTAAATAAACCAGTTTGAATTCAACTGCACTTTTTTCAACGTTTATTTCTTCAACGTAACGTAGCCACTGTAGTGTGTCACATATTCTACCTTGTCGGTAAGATGTGGTTATGTAGCCCCACTTGATGGACACAATGCTGTTGGAGTTGGAAATAAGAGTAAGAGGTTGGGGCTAGGGGTTAGAGCTAGGGGTTAGGGTGAGGGGTGTGGATTAGGGCAACTATTTCTCAACCATTCAAAGGACAACGGCGCATTCTCAATGGCTTTTATTTTGCATACAACTACTTGGCCTCGTCGCCTGGGCGTTTCCCGGTCCCACCTGTAAAAACGCCTATCCCCATCGGTCCCGTATTACAGGTGGCTAGGGTTTTTTTTATACTTCAGACGGAGCTGCATAACCACATCTGACCGCCTTGCCTTCCGTCATGTGACATGTGTTTGAATTGTAAGCACTTCGTGCTTGATGTCAACGAAATTTTGCCAGATGTTGGGCGCTGTCAGCGCTGGGTTTGTTTACTTGATTGCTTGTCTAGGCAGAAGTAACAAAAAGAATAAACTTTTCTAAGGTACGTTGTGTGCGCGCACGTCAAATAATGTTCCCTAATGGCACTTCTCTTGTGGGTATAAAAGGGAGAGCGGATTGGGTGACTGCATCGTCAAACCAAACAGAGCACCACAAGCGGTCACAATGAAACCATTCCTGGCAATTTTGATCCTCGGTGTGCTGGTGCAGATGACCCTGGCGAAGACTGCGAGGAAGGAGGAGCCAGAGGAGGATCTGTCAAAGGGGGAGGTCAGTGCGAAAGAGGACGAGGGTGCAGTGTCTCCAGCCTGCGGCGGCGGTTGGTGGGGTGGCTGTCATCACCACCACGGATGTTGCTGGCGTCGCTGTTGCCACCATCATCACCACTGTTGCCATCACCATCATGGCTGCGGCTGGGGTTGGGGTTGGTAAACACGCATAGTGCGTCATTTTCTGCTGGCCAATAAAGAGTTTGTCACTTACGTGTGCCTTGTCTACTTGAACTACAGGTCAAAGCTGTGATGTCAGAGAACTGTTTGGATTTACTTGGAATGATTAGTTTAAGCTGGAGTTCTTGTGGAAATGCGGAGCGGGAAGGGCGAAATTTAACTTACCACCCAACCGTCCTTCTCTTAGAATGTAAGCAGCATGTAACGTGACAATGTGTTGACTTGTAGCGATCCGGAAGCATAACGCACTCAGTGTGACCGCACTAACTCCGGCCTTGCTGATACGCGGAACCACGGTTCACTGAGTATTGGGCATGTTCTTGGATCTGCAACCTGGAAGCTGCGAAAAGGACTAAGTTTGGTTTCGACCATTTGGATGGCGATTTTCGTCACTGGACGCCGTGGTGTGGCGTTGTGTTTTAATGTGGTCTTTAAGGCACTTCTAGGCGAGCGAGATCCTACAGTGACTCGGTACGTTGTGTGCGAACCTGTCGTTGTGTGTCCCCTTGGTTTGTGTGTTGGTGATGTCAAGTTGCGTATCATTATTTTGCAAATAGCCACCAACAGCGATGCTTTTAGCGATGTCGGTACGATTAAAAATGCTTACAACGAAAGGCAGCATCTCGTATGTCTGTTCCTATACAGACCGGCCGTTGTAATTTGTCAAAAGTTGGCACAACACCCAGAAGCACCTACTAGCAGATATTTTGATGCAACCGTGAGCGACTGCGACATGGTATCGGTAAAATACTTATGCGACTCCTGGACTCACAGGTAATAATAACGATAAGGCGTCGTGCGGCCGTCTTTGTGGAGAGAAGGAATGAATCTCCTATGGGCTTTGAACCAAACACTCTTCGGATGGCAGTGCGATCGAGAAATCGACGATATTCACTGGGTACTTCAAGGAGTAGACACAGCCCCGGTAAACTGTGCGCGAATTAGTTTGTAGTGAGGCGGACTTGCGCCGTGTATATCGCACTATCTCCTCCACTAACGTCATTTATCTAATGACCCCGCAGATACACCGCGTCACCGTAAGAGCGGCTAGAATGGCACATGCGTAAAATACGGACGAGCATGACCTCGCGGGACCGACGACAACCGGCTCTAGGACGACATTTGCAGATTGCACTCTACCATGACAACCATCTTTTCAGCACACGGCGCTGAAGCATGGTCATGTAAGCAACAGAG